ACCCACTCCCACCTTCCTGACCCCTCTGCCCATCCCCACATCCCTTTAACCCTTCTTGGGATCCACTTGACTCCATTCTCCCCATTTTCCCTCCCCACTCTAATCAATAAATCTTGATCACTTCAGGTAATATTGATATTAATAATGAAGTTTGTTTTGTCACTGGAGTTGCTATTGATGATGTTGTTATTATATATGTTAATGCTTTACAACTGGAATAATATGACTTTCTGGGGTATTCCAGGTTTGTCACTGATATTAGGTTGTGTGATAGATGTGTGCTTTATACACCATGCCCATCCCAAAGTCGCCCCCTCCCACCTTTATGACCYCTCTGCCCATTCCCACATCCCCTCTTGGGATCCATCTGCTTCCCTCCCCCATTTTACCCTCCCAGTCTAATGAATAAATCTCATTATTCTAAGTAATATTAGTAATAAAGTTTGTCATGTCACTAGAGTTGCTATTAATTGGTTGTTTTTTTATATGTTAATGAAGTGTTGGTGGGATAAATTAATTGATTCCCTGGAGGTGTTTTGGGTATATAAGTGACCCTGGGTTGTTTGATTGATGTGTTCTTTATACACCACCCTGATCCCAAATTCACAATATCCCATCCCTCCCCATCCCCTCTTCCCACCCTCCTAGTGCTCCCTTAGCCCTTCCTCCCACTCTCCACCCTCCCCAGTGCCCACCCTTCCTATTATTAATAAATTTCAATTATTCCAAGTCATACTCGGATTAGAAGATAAATGTTATTATTTTGTCACCAGAGTCACTGTTAATTGGTTGATTTATTTTATATGTTGGCCTTTTCAGCTGGAATATATACTTGGTTTCCTGAAGTGTTCTTGATATGTCATTGATATTGAGTGGTGTTATTGACATGTTCTTCATACACCATCTCCCTCCCAAATGCACCCACTCCCACCCTCTCACTCTCCCCCTGCCCACTGTGACCTTTCTCCCCCTCCCCATCTCCCCACCTCGTGCCCTGAAGGAAGACGCTGAAATGATCAGGACACAGTTTGCACTTAACCACTAAATCTTTATTGAATTTTTATTAGAACATCAATGCAATATTAGTCAATACAGAGAAATATAGAGTAAAGAGAATACAATAATAGTTTGAAGGAAGGGTAGGGGTTGGRAGGTGGGGCAGGGTAAGGAGGAGGGGCAGGGTTAGGGTGAAGGGGTGGGGGTAAGGAGGAGGGCTACTGACAGGGGCAAAAGCAAGGGGTAATTCATCACTTTCTTTCAAATTTCAAGAATATTAACCACATCATCATCATCAATTTCATTTTAGCAACAAACTCTCAAGGGGCACCTATCTTTCCACAAATTGATCCCTGATGTTAATACCCAGGGCCTTTATGAAATTAATCCAATCACATGTGAACTTTTACTAACATTTAATCCATGTCCAATTCATTCTGAATAGATTGATCTCCCTGCAGTTCCCTCTGAATTTATTTGAAATCATTAGGGGTAAGAGGTATGGGGGTAAAGGGTCATAAGTAAGTACACGTGTCCACTTAGCAATATCTAATACATAATCTTATCCTAACTTATCCTAAATAGTCCCACCCACTTAAGATTACTTAATAGTCCCTCCCATCCTAAAATACTATGATTATATATCCCCTAACTTAAAATGATTACATAAAGAAATAAAAACAATGCAAAATTCCACAGACCAATTTAACAACGTTCTACAATCTGAAACAACAAAGAACTTTCAGTCCCATCAGACACGTGATCTCTGAGATGAAAATGTCACATGGTTCTTCTTTTCCTCTGGTGGTCCTTCACTGCTGCTCAGGTCTTTCCAGCAGGATGTTCTCTGCTGCCATCTTGGAACGGGATCTGATGTGAGATGTCTGTGGTGGGTGATGACTGGATAAATTCAGGAGTCCAAGAGGTACCTACAAACTTAAACAAAATTCCAGACTGCACCATTTAGATGTGTCCATCTTATTTTGTGCACCTGCAAGTTCACCGTATGTCTTCCCATGATTGAATCAAATACGTCATCRCTCAAACTGAATTGACCCTTTATAAATGTATGTAAACCTTCTCTATTTCAATATCCTAACATGATGACCATACTTACTTATCTTCAGGCTTGACTAGCAATGGGAGCTCTTAGATCTTCTTCCTTGATTTAATTAATGAAGAATGCAAATTCTGATGTTTTATTTATCTATCTCCTTCCTGTTTTTATTTTGCTCCCTTTCTAACTTCTTGTCTCTTCCTTATGAATAAAGGCATTTTTGTTGGAAATGCCAAAAGAAAGTTTTAAAGTATCCAATTAACATAAATTTGATCAACAGAAACAAAATAAATCAATTGAGAAAGGAAACTTATCAAACTGAAAAAGGAAACTTATCAAATTGAAAAAGGAAACTTACCAAACTAAGAAAGGAAACTTACCAAATTGAGAAAGGAAACTTACCAAAATGAGAAAGGAAACTTAACTAAATTTCAATACTATAGAGCAATAAATGTAAGATTACTTATCCTTAACACCTAAAAGATAGTATAGATAGGAGTAGAGCATAGTACACACTGCCAAAGAGTCAATCACAAGCTTTAGTAAACAGTCCGACGTGTCAGGGATTTTGTGAGTTGTGAACCCACGCCAGCATGCTCTCCCTGATCGTTTTGCTGTTGGCCAGGCTTCTGCTTGCAATGGTGGCAAATGTCCGTGTGCACATGCCAGGGCTGCAGAAAATGACCCATTTCTAGGCACTCTGCAGCTTGAAGATCAATTGGAAAATGTAAATTTGACACACAACAATTTGAATTCAAATGTATGGAAGATGGATTGAGATTTGAGGTAAACGGAAGTAACGCTTCACAATAGTCCAGAAGCACAAATGCACCATTTTAAAAATACTCTAAAACACACAAGTGATTGACAAGCTTTCTGATTCCATTGAAGAAAATAAGAAAAGTTGTTTTAGACTAAATAGCCAATTAGGTTTTTCTTTTGTGCAATTTAAAAAGTCCAATAAATTGAAGATTTATTATAAATACTCCAGTTCTGAGGAGCCTCTCATTCACAGTATTGTAAGAAGTTCACAGTAAAGAGATATGTTTTTTAAAATTTGTACTTAATTTAACAATAAGAATTGAATAGTACTTTGTCATTCAATGGAAACTTTTGAAAGCATAGCCAACACTTTAAAACACTGTTAAAGAACACTATTATAGATAGAAGTTTTAAGTATTTAAACATGCAAGGATAAGGGGTGGGGGGTAATAATGAATATATGAAAGATGAGGCTGATGAAAAGGAAACTTCACCATTAAGACTCCTCTTCAGGCAATTTGGAATATAAATCCTGTAGCAGGGTTAATGGCAGTAGTAGAGAATTAAACAGAAAGAGAGAGGTTAGACAAGTGGTTCAAGGTAGTAGCAAGGGACTAGGTTAAAGAAGTCAGGCAGTCCCAGGTTAGCACAAAGAGTCCAGAGGTGAGGCCTTTCATCCATTGGCAGCTTGATTCTTTCGAGGTGATTACCCTCAGGTCATCTTCTCATTAAAGAAGTCCATATCCTCAAGACAGTGCCCAGTGCTCTAATTCCTCTTCCCTCCCATGCACAGGAGTGTGGGTCTGGGTGCAAAATCATTTCCCCTCTCCAATCATCCTAATGCTACAGTCTAATGAGGGGACTGATGATGGAATGCCCAGATGCAAATGGAGGCAGAGACGTAGACAGATGCTTCCCAAACTTCAACTGGTGTTTTTCCAGCCAATTAGCAACATTCATGAGAATTCTTTCTGAAGTCCCAGCACAAGTTGGTAACAATTAACTCAGAGCCTCTTTTAAGAGTTGGGTACGGGATTTAGGAGTCCTTTGATTTGCTAATCTTTAGCCCTCACACATGACTGAGAGGTGGTCACAACATTTCACAGACACCTAACACACCTGGAGCCATTACTGGCATGATGATGGTAAGATGTTGTGTCAAAGCCAGAGTTCTTGGGTACACATGATTTGCACCAGGATATGAAGGCACACTCTTAACATGCAAGAGTCTGTCTGAGAGCACTTCCTTTTCAGGCCTGAGGTGTTACATGTCGCAGGGGTGTTTGCCTGCTTCTGGGAGAACCAGTCGACTTGCTGCTCCTTGAGAATTAACGGAACCATGAAAGTGGAGTTTGAAGATGGTGAAGTTTCTAAGGGTGCAGCAAGAGGATCACGGAAGCCTTTCTTCACTGCACCAAAAACTGTGGCTTCCTTTATAAGGCCTCCGTCCTCCTGTGAGTCCCGAAGCTGCAAGAAGGGTCATGTCCTCCTCCTCCTTGTCTCCCCCTCCCTTAAGAAATCAGCATTTCCTGTGTTTGCATCAGCTTCTCTGTAAAGAAATTTGGCAGCCATTAATTTAGATGGTGACAGAGGTTTCAGACCTCTTTGGAAAGTAAACTTTTTAATTGGCAGTCAAGGTTAAAGAACTGAGATAATTTCTTGGTAAATATTATTTTGAAGGTCTTCTGGTGCTTTCAGATGTGTGCCAGTTCAGGGTGGCCCTGACCTTCTGTAGCCTTTCAGAGAGGATGTGGCTTGAAGATACAGTAGCTCAATTTAGCACACAGTCACTGATTGAGAAGCTCACACAGGAATCATCTTTGAGGGAAGAGATCTTGAAGGGACATGACAGGAATTCACATGGTACTGTAAGATGGAGGCGGCGGTGGCGGYGGCGGCGGCGGCGGCGGCGGCTGCGGCGGCGGGTACTGCGGCACCGGAGGCTGGCGGTACCAGTGTGGATTCCAAGTGATCATAACAGGTACGTAGAGAGATCTTCCTTGACCGTCTCGTCCCACAGGGTACCACGCAAATCCTACTGGGTAGGTCGGGTACGTGGTGTATGTGGGGTAGGACTGGTATCCAGGTACTTGAGGAATATATTCGGTGTAGGTTGCCAGGTGCGCCTGGTCTTCCAGATTAGGAATCGATAGGCGAGGATACTGATTCTGGATGGTGAAATGGTTTGGAGCTCGGCAATCATAAGAAACTTGCAGTTTCCACCCCCTCTTGACCTGGAGAACTTGGGCTCCGTTGGGTGCAATGGTCGGGGTAATCAGGCCATCCTTCACATTTCTCGCCACGAAATCTCGGAGAGCTGCCATTTCAGGTTCAGACAGGGAGTACACGTGCCCACTGGGAATGCTGTGCGCTCCAGGTATCATCTCTATGTTGGGGTCAACCAGACGGTGATCTGGGTAGACGTGCTCATCAACTGGAGTGTACACATTCTGGACGTAGTAATACCTCACTGGTTGGTAAACTCTGTATCCGTCGACTGGGTAGTAGAGTGACGGGTGTGGTGCTGGTGGAGGGAGCGAGGGAGGTATTGGAGTGTACATCCGGCAGTGGTATCGGCAGTATTCGGAGTCGAAGACGATGGATCGAGTGCTCCAAGTGATGTTGGGGTCATGTGTGCTCAGCCAGCGAACCCCCAGGACGACAGGAAAGAACGGAGACTGAGTCACATCAAAGGACAGCACCTCGCGGTGATCTCCCAGGTCGACAATCAGGTTGTGAGTCTCGTGGACAACTGGGCCCGATGCGATGGGGCGACCATCAATTGCTTCCACGAGTATTGGCCAGTCCTTGACTCTTATAGGAATTCCATTTTGAGCGACGTATTCGTGATCAATGAAGTTTCCAGAAGCACCAGAATCGATCATGGCTCGGACGAACAGGGTGTGTCTGCCCGGTAGATGGATCTGGAGCATCACTTGCAGGTGTGGAGATGAAGCATCATCTGGTGGGGACCTTATTAATTCCGGCCCGGTCGCTGAAGGTCCCTCTACAGCGGGGCCGGGGAGTTTCCCGCCGGTGAAGACTTTGAGGCCTTGGCAGGACAGTTGTCGGCGTAGTGACCCCCGTTTCCACAGTAGAGGCAGAGGTTCAGCTTACGGCGTCTTTCCTTTTCTTCCTGGGTCAGGCGCATGCGGGCACCGCCCACGGGCTCGGTGGGATCTACCTGGTGGTGGCTTGACACGTGAGGCATCACCAGCGCCCGGGGTGGGGAGCGTGGCTTGCGAGCAGCAGCAGCTCTGGCCAGCCTTCTCTCAATGTGAATGCACTGGCCGATCAACGCCGACAGCGACTTGGGGGCCTCGAGGTGGGAGAGCTCTTCCTGAATGTGGTCGCTGAGACCCTCGTGGTACTGGTCAATCAGGGCAGGTTCATTCCAATCCAGGTCCTGGGCAATCATCTGGAAAGCGTTGGAATAGTCRATGACGGAGCCCATGCCCTGGCGCAGACGTCTGATCTTGCGTTTGGCGGCCTCTCGTCTCTGAGGGTCTTCAAAGACATGCTTCATTTCCATCATGAAGGCGGGGTAGTTGTGCATCAGGTAGTGGGATCGCTCCAGTTTGGCAGAGGCCCAACGGGCAGCACGACCGGTCATCATGCTTGTCACGAAGCAAACACGGACACGATCAATTGAGAAATCTCTGGTGCTTTTTTCCATGAAGACTTGGCACTGGGACATGAAAGGAGCCAGCATGTCGGGGTTGCCATCAAACTTCTCTGGCAGGTCTTCTGGGCACTCTTCCTCAATTGGAGCGGGTGGGGCAGCAGCCGCCGCAGCACCTTGGAGCTCAATGTCGTCTTCATCATCCTCAGGGACGGGTTCCACTTGCTCACGGAGAGTGGTATTCTCCTCTGTGAGCTTCTGCACCTGGTTCTGCAGGTTGTTGTTTTCCTCGGACTGCCTGATGACCTTCTCTCTCAGGTTGTTGATCTCTTCGGAGAGCTCATCCCTCCTGCGTTCCCCCATGTTTGGGACGCAGGGGCTCTTGTGGCCGCTGGGCTTGTTGTTGTTGTTGTTGTTGGGGGGAGGGGGAGGGGGAGGTGGTGGGCAGTCGGGACCCAGGGTGACGGTTGGTGTGGGAGGAGACCTCCCAGGTGTTGCTTCACTTCTGGGGGGGTGGAGGCCTGGATCCTGGCCCCCTCTTGCACCCCTTCTTCTCTTTGTTTTCAAAACCCGCTTATTTCTGTAAATGAAGATAAGAGTATACMTTCAACATATATATCTAAAGGGGCACAATGCAAAGAAGGTTTAGTATTTAATGCACCTCTCTGATCTACTTGCTCATATTAATAATTAGCCAACAAAGAAAACACATCCTCAAAAGAAAAGCAAATGAAGTCATCAATCAGGACAACAAATAATGAAAGCACTCTTCTTTCTCTGATGCTCAAATCACCTTTTCTTCCTCAAAAATCACCTTTTCATTGTGATTCATCAATATGCAAACTTTAACATCACTATGCTCACCTTTATAGGCTATAAAGAATGCTAAGACACAGAAAATAAGTAATTTTGTATGGAGGGAATGAAGCAAGAAACTTTTAGGCAAAGATAGATACCAAATAAATTATTCAAAACAATTCCAAAATAACTTTTGCAATTAAAGAAATTAGGTGAAAACCAGCTAATATCCCAATCAATTAAACAACAACAACTATAAACAACCACACAACAAGAGAGATGCCTGCATTTATCAGCTCTGAAAAAGAATACATGCCAATTGTCATGACCTCTGTCCACCTCTACAGAGAACATAATTGATTATCAAATCAAACAACCACCACCACCACAAAAAACACAAGACTGTCTAATTACTTTTCTGACCATAACTTAACTTCCCAAAGAGAATTCTCTTTGGGTCAGAAATGGCACTTAACAGCAACATGTATATGTCAGTTTCCTTCCTCATTACGTAGTCATTCAACAAATATTAATTGATGCCTCCTAATAAGAACTAGGCTAGAAAATGAGACTTTTTTTCAAAAATGACCAATAATAGTTAATTATGACTTAATTATAATAATTACTTATTTATTAAAATTCAATTTAATAATATCATGCAGATAAACCACATAGCAAATGTTTAACAACTGTCTGTTGGCACTAATAAGGTTATTAATTAGAAAACAGAAAGGTAACTTTCTGTTTAAATAGGGAGGGGCTGCAACTATAGTGACCTGGGCACCCATTTACATACTAAAGCTATTCTTTTTGTTTGTTCCCCCCCCCCTTAAATACTGTGTTGATCAAACAACTCCAGGACTTTATTGATCCTTCAGGTCATCAGTTTCCAATTCCTGGTTCTTAATCAAGATTTGTCACCATAGCCCCACCCCAAAGGTTTGTAATATTCAGGTGGGACAAAGCTGTACTCAGGGCTGGGGGGTCTGGGGGTTGGGGTTGGTAGGTGGGGGGTGTAGGAGATAGAAGGTGGGGGGTAGGGAGTGGAAGGTGGGGGGTAGGGAGTGGAAGGTGGGGTGGGGGATAGGGGGTAGAAGGTAGGGGTTAGGGAGTGGGGGGTAGGGAGTTGAAGGTGAGGGATAGGGGGTAGAAGGTAGGGGGTAGGGAGTGGGGGTTGGGGAGTAGAAGGTGGGGGATAGGGGGTAGAGAGTGGAAGGTGGGGGATAGAGGGTAGAAGGCTGGGGGGGTAGGGGGTGAAAGGTGAGGGGTAAGGGTGGAAGGTGGAGTTGGGTGGGTAGGGGGGTAGGGTGAATGGATGTGTCTGGAGGTGGTATAGGAGAATTAAATGTTCTAATTATGAGTGTGATGTTAATAAATCACACAATAAGTCATACTAAAGTGTCTTCCTGAAAAATAGTGTTAAATGCATTTAGAGTGATTTAATCATTTAAAATTTCAATAATTTCAAATCCCAAATCTGGAAAATTTAAATACATAAGAAGTTTAAAACTTAATATATAATATAAGAAAGTTTAAAAAGTTTTTTAAAACTTTAGAAAGTTTAATAAGTTTTTAAAAGTTTAACTTTTTTAACTTGAAAAGTTTAAAACTTCGAGAAGTTTTGAAAGTTCTGAAAGTTTTAAAAGTTCAAAACTTCAAAAAGTTCAGTTTTTAAAAAAGTTTTAAACTTTTTAAAGTTTAAGAAAAGTTTTAAACAGTATAAAAGTTTTTTAAAAACATTTAAATTTAGTTTAAAATGTTTAAAACACTTTGTAGTTTAAAAGTTCAAAACTTTTAAGTAAACAAAACTTTTAAACCATAACTTGTTTCTCTCTGACCTATCAAAGCAAAATCAGTTATTAAATAAATTACATAAAGTTAAAAAAATGTTAATTAAAGAAGTTAAGTGGAAAATAACTAATATTTCAACCTCTAGGGTATAAGATAAAAGGGGATATGGTAATAAATCACTCATGAGCCCCCCCCCTTTCCTAACACCCCTCTTATCCACTATACCACCTCATTTTCCCCTACATTCTTTGCTGTTGATATGGTCTCTCCAAGGCGTGGCAATAGAGCAAGCAAGGTCCTTAAGGGACAAGGGTTAGTGTGTAATTTTAATAATTTTAACTTAATTACTTTAGTAACTTATGCTACAAACTCAATGAATAATTGACATTCAAGATAATATATTATCAAGCTTACAAAAATTAGAAGTCACAACACACACATCATAACCTGTAATGTTCAGTCTCATTTCCAGCTCTTTAAAAACAATAGGATAGTAACAATGGCAATGCAAAGCACAATATAATACAATATTTATTTATTAAATTAAGAATTTTAATGTCTCATTAAAAAGCAACTAATAAACAAAGGTCAGGTGACTAAGGTGTCACTTAGCTTGTGTGCACATTTTAATCAAAACAGACAAGGCTTCCTACAGGGCAGTCACAGCATGGCCTAGTGCAGCTTGACACAGGTCAGGAAGGTTAATCTCCATGTCAATAACAGATACTGGGGTAGGCTATATTTAAGCTGAAGTTTGATGATTTTACCATCTATAAAAAAAATGATGGGACAGAAATTACATTGGAAAATCATCAAATAATATATTGTTTAGGGAAACAAAATCAATAAGAATTAGAAATTCAAAAGCCTTCATTATACAGAAAGGTAATTTACAAGTGAGGAGACTGGAGTTAAGATCACAGGAAGGGGCTACAATTATGTATTTGGGGAATGCATGCCCCTTCCTCTGTCCCCCACAAGACATTACATTTTGTTTGTTTGAATAGCACTAATATATATACATATAAAATTGAGGCCTTATTTGGCTTGTAAAGTCACCAGTTTAAGACCTCTGACCTTTACTAGTGTAAGGACTCAAGCCCCCAATGGGGTTTGCAATTTTGGGGTGGGACTCTTAAGACCAAAGCAAAGTAGTCAACCCATTAAAAGTTAACAGAATAGTGGGCAGGCAGGTTAATACTAAATTTAAGTAAATTACAAAAATGTTTAACAGCACCAGGTACAGTGCAAGTTCACAGGATGCAAGGAGCATTTCAACTTGATTTGACTAATAAAACTCTGGCTCCTTAAAGTCCCTCTTATAGGGACTGGATTGGAGAGGTGGGGTCAAGAGGTCCCATTCTTGAAAACTGAGAGGTCACACTGCAAAAAGCCAAGCTGCCTGGGACAGAAGTCATAATAAATATTTCAGTTTTAGTCTACTTAGTAATTAAGTACATTTGATTAATTATCAACTTTTCATAATGACTTCTAGAAACTTATACCCCAAATCCACCAAAGAGCAAGAGTAGCCAAAAAAAAAAAACCAACAAAAAACCCAAAAAACCATACATATACATCCCATTAGTAAATGAAACACCATTAAGCAACTCTTAATTGTTTTAAATTTTCAAAATGTCCAATTTTTTAAAGTATTATGTGCATCACTTGTAAAATACAAGTTCTATTAATATGCACTTTTTTTAAACCAGTGTTTTGAACCTCTTTAATATGCAGACACAGAATTCCCAAAGCAGCAGCAGACTTAAAGCTGTAATTATATGTACATATTTTCCATAGATTGTATATTTTTAAGGGGCCAGGGAATTGGGGGGGGTGGTGTGATAGACTTTTGGAAGCCAAAAAACTTCCATTTCTCCCCTTAGAAAAACTCCTGGCTCATAGTTTGTAATACAGAGAACCAGGTTTTTAATTTCTTCATTAATTAGAATATTTTTACATGGTACATTTGACTGGCAATAAGTAATACAGATGTTTAATTATGCCAGTTGAAACAGTCTATATTTTGTAACTATTTTATGTTTCATTACACAAATTTTAAATGTCAATGTATACCATTAATAACCTATTTGCCCAAAATTTAAATAATTAGTTTTTTATGAAAAAAACTAATTACTTAGGATAACAAATAATTGGCTTTTTATGAAAAAAGCCAATTACTTGGGATAACAAATAATTAGCTTTTTATGAAAAAAGCCAATTACTTGGGATAACAAATAATTAGCTTTTTATGAAAAAAGCCAATTACTTGGAATATTAAATAATTAGCTTTTTATGAAAAAAGCTAATTATTTGGAATAATTTAAATTAATTTAGTGTCTTTATAATTACAGCTTACATTATTAAAGTTCAAAAATGCATACTTTTTTTTTTTTTTTTTTTTTTTTAAGAAACTCCTAGATATGTGAAGGTACAACCCAGGACAACAAAGCACCAAAGCAGAATAAGAAAACAGAAAAGACCTGCAAAACTAAGCAAGAAGACAAATAAACCAATTTACTCTGGTCATTTAACACATGTTAATGAATGCCTACCATGTGCCAGGCACAATTTATTGTATGTAGGCAGGTTAGCCAGGGCTAATCCCTTAGTTTCCAATGGGGAAAATAAACCCCAGTTTCATAGACACACAAACACTTCATCCTTGCTCAAAGGCCAAACCAGCAGCACCAATGTGCCACTTAAAACTCCTATGAAACAAACACAGCCCAAATTGTTCCTTGCTTTGTATTCACCAAAGCATTCAATTCCAGTAGGTCCACTAGTGTCTTTTAAAAAATAGGTAATGTGAAAATATTTTTTAATTTTATTTTTTTAATTTATAATAAAAGCATTTGGCTAAATTGCCTTTAGAGGCACAGCCAAGTCAGCTTAGACATTCCCATCATAAACATCAGTTTAAATTGTAAGACTGTTATTTAATATGTGCAAAACACTTATAAAAAGTGTTTACAAATGCCAGGTATAATTGTTGTTAATTGTTCTTATTTATTATTCTTGTACTTATTAGATACTAGTGGACAAAAAGCAAAACCGCGCAGCAGAGAAACCGCAGGGGGGCGGGTCTGTGCAGCCAGGCTCAGGCATTGAAGGCGCGCAGGCGCATAGGACAAGGCCTAATGGGGGGGGGGGGCTCACACTGCGCAAGCGCAGAAAGGCTCTGCTGAAGGAGGGGCTGTAGGCCAGCTCAGAGGAGGCAGGCTCAGGGTGGAGCCAAGCTTTGGAGAGGCGGGGTCTGGGCAGGCCACCTCAGAGGAGGGGCCTCAGGGAGAGGCGGGGTCTGGGCAGGCCACCTCAAAGGAGGGGCCTCAGAGAGAGGCGGGTCTGGGCAGGCCACCTCAGAGGAGGGGCCTCAGGGAGGGGTCTGGGCAGGCCACCTCAGAGGAGGGGCCTCAGTGAGGGGAGGGATCTGGGCTGCCACCTCAGAGGAGGGGTTCGGGGAGGGGCGGGGTCTGGGCAGGCCACCTCAGAGGAGGGGTCTCAGGGAGGGGCGGGGTCTGGGTAGGCTGGCTCCAAGAGTCAGCACAGGAGAGGAGGGGCCTGGGGAGGCGCGCTCTGGGGAGGCGCGCTGCAGGGGAGGCGCGCTCTGAGTAGGCGCTGGGAGGGAGGAAGGGAGGCGCTAAGCGCGTTCTGAGCAGATACTGCAGAGAAGGCGCGTTAGGATGGGCGGGGCAGGCCAGAGACTGGCTGCTACAGGGCTGCAGAGTGTCTGCACGCCACTCCCAAGATCCCGCCCCCCCAAACCCCTCCCACCAACCTCCAACAGCCAGATTCATTTCATGCAGCAAGAGCAATCACCCCAGATCCAGCCCCCCCCCCCAAACTCAGCAAACCGACAGTTTCCACAAACTGTTGCTGGACACCGATTCGCGCCACCACGACAACTACACCGCCGCTTCAATCAACATAACTAGGCAGCCTAATCTGCCATCCCCAAAAGTCAGCGCCCTTCCACTCCACTGCCATAGCAGGAATGGTGTGGGGAGAATGTTAAACACTAATGTTTTTTGCCCAAGGCTCCATTTTGTCTAACAGAACCATCATGCACAGAGCCATCCTGCAAAGAAATACAGTGGGAGCCATTCGAAAAGGTGAAAGGGTGGGGTCCCCATCTAAGAAGCAGAGTAATTGTACTCTGCAGCCCTTTTCCCTCTATACCTGGTTTATCTGTCGCGCCAAACAGCCTGCAGCTCATGTACCTCTGCAGCAGTTTCCACTTTGCAAGCCTTTTAGGTGTAAATTGTTCCGCAGTTCATGTGCCTTATAGTGCATTGAAGCGCTATTGTATAGCTAATATCATTTTTGTAGCGCTTTTGAAAAGCTAGTCTTCAGCTCAGAATTTGAAGCGCATTTAAAGCGCAAGCTAATCTTTAGTCTGCAGCTCAGATATCGCTGCAGTTTTTACAGGTCTGTAGCGCATGTAAGCGCCAGCCCGTAGCGCGAGAAGCGCCCATCAGTTTCTAGCGCATGAAGCGCCAGTTCGTAGCGCATGAAGCGCCAGTCCTTAGCGCATGAAGTGCCCATCAGTTTCCAGCGCAAGAAGCGCCCATCAGTTTCTAGCGCATGAAGCGCCAGTCCTTAGCGCATGAAGCGCCAGTCCTTAGCGCATGAAGCGTCCATCAGTTTCTAGCGCGTGAAGCGCCCCTCAGTTTGTAGCGCATGAAGCGCCACTTTATAGCGCATGAAGCGCCCATCAGTTTGTAGCGCATGAAGCGCAAGTTTGTAGCGCAACTGAAGCGCTTATCAGTGTGTAGCGCATGGAAGCGCCAATTAGTTTTAGCACATAGCACTTTCTAGCGCATTTGTAGAGCTATCTGCAAATTAGTCTGTAGCTCATGTGCGTCTGCAGCTCATTCCTGTCTGCAGCTCATGTCTGTCTACAGACCGTATCTGGACTTGGGTCCTGGAAACCAGAGCCTTGAAGGCTTGGTTTCCCCCAGTCAGTTTTGGGGTTCTGCCAGTGAAGGCGTGGCAAGGTTTGCGTGGAGACATTCTGGGGCGCTACTCCATCTCCCGCAGCTCCCGATAAAAACGGGGAATGAATGTGATCTTAAAAATAAAAAACATCCTCACCGCATACTCACCACGCGAGGACTCCTCTGCGAAGACAGGAAGGAAGGGGTCCCACACCTGGCCAGGCGTGGGCTCCACTGGGAGCTCCGCAGCCCGGAGTGGCTCCGGACGCGAGCCCGCTCAGCGGACCTCTCGAGAGGCCAGTGGACCCTCTCCGATGTTCTCCTCAGGTCGCAGTCAGGTTTCTTCGACACACACCAACCGAAGTTGAAGCGCGTGTACCCGGAGCCCGGACCGCCTGCCTTATATAGGCTGAACAGAGGAGGGGGGCGCCAAATCCCAGCGTGCTCTGCGGGCTGGGGGGCGGAGGGGGGTGCGGGGGCGGGAAGAATGGGGGAGGGGGGAGGGGGGGCGATGGCCACGCTTCAGTGGCCCGCCGCTAGAGGGAGTACGGGATTAGGGAGGGGGTGCAGAATGCTGAGGCTGAACTAGCCAAGCTGGGAAGAAAGAAGAAAGGGAGGGGAGGGGAGAATCGAGGACGGCTGGCCTAGCCAGGCCAAGAATGCTATTGCCCTGGTGGTGGGAGCTGGGAGACCCCTGTGCTTGGACTGGACAGGGTCGGGGGACACGCAGGATGAGCCCCGCGACCACTGGCACATTCTTGCTGACAGGTTAGTGGCCTGCGCGCGATGTGGAGGTCCTGGGCCAAACAGGCCGCTGCCTCCCCCTCCCCCACTTGGGTTCGGGTACCCGGGCTCGCCCCTTGGGCTCCAGCCCCTCTTGATGCCCCATTGTATCCCTGTTTCAGAATGCCCTGTACCCTACTTTGGGGGACTGTGGGTCCCTCTCCAGGATGGACCCCTGGCCTTTTCTTTTTCTCTGCACCCCCACTGGCCCCTCCCTGACCAGCGGGAGCAGAAATTTCAGCTCCAGTTTCCATTCCCAGCACCCTCTGACCCCCCCCACCCCAGCCCCCTAGGTGGACCTCTCTCGATCTTGTAGCAAAGACCTGGGGGTCGCTGCCCATTTTGGGGGGATGTTACCCCATTATTGGGGCTCCTTGGCCTAGATAGGAGGCAAAGAAAATAGGTGTCAAACCCCGTCCCCCTCTTCAAATAACATCTTTTCTCTTTATCTTGAATCTGATTGAGAGAGAACACTAAAACCCGACATTTAAAACACCTAATTCACCCTTCTTCCTAAACGCATTTCTCGGAGGTGGAAATCCCATTTTTCTTAGGTTTTTACCGAGCCGGGAAGCGAAATCATGCGATGCCGGGAGCCAAACAGGGCATTCAGGTCAGGGTTAACACCGGTTTGGGGGCTAGAGATGCTGCAAACAGCACCGTTTGCCCCACCAAGTGCATTATTTTGAGAAAGCAGACACAATTGAAAACAGCTGTGGATGCTTCCACTGTGCTTGGCGGGATTTGGAGGCTCTCAGCTTCGGAGGTTTACAGAGAGACCTCGCTTTCTCTACAAACATTACATTTTCTTAAATCTTTTAGGGTGAATGAATGCGTTTGCTTATGGTAACCGCACGTCTAATCCTTTGAAGCGGGTTGCCGAGATTCGGCCCCAAATATTTGTGTGAATGTATACCAAAAAAACATTTTTTTTAAGTGGGGGAAAATTACTGATGAGAAAGAATGCTGAATAAAAGCCTTAGTGCAGATTCCCATCTAAACCGCCTCAAAGTGTTATGCGCGTTAGGAAAACTGACAATCTGTTGCTAATCTTAGTAAAAGAAGTTTAAGTGAGAAAATAAAATTGTTTACAACTGATATTTCTGAAACACAGATGAAACACATTAGTCTTTAGAGACTAAAATTGAACATACTCTAGTAACATTGATGCCACCTATTTTATTCTTAGAGGATAAATGAGAATTTTACCCATTGTGCTTGACAAAGTGGTAGGGAGCCGGTTTAAAAAGCGAACCTTTCTAGGAATGAAGTAAACTTAGTCCATTTAGTGAGATTTTACATCTTATTAGAAATAAATGTTCACCATTAAGATTTGTGAACAATTGAATGAATGAAGCGCAGATTTCCAATAATGAAAGGCATTTTTCTAGAAGTTGGGAAAACACAATACTTTTCAGAAGTGACTTTTAATTTAATCTAATCCTCTTCTGCAATACATAATAATTCTAGAATTTCTTAGAGCACTGTTCTGGTGATTGCCCGACTGTCAAATTCTTAGCAGTTTGTTTTTTATCCCAAGTTACTTCACCCAGTTGTTAACTGATAGACTTTGTTCTCCTAAAAAAATGAATTAAAAAGTAGTGTAGTTGAAAAATGGGGAAAATTCAACTTAAAAAAAAACCATCTGAGACTTTCAAAGTTTAAATCAGTTTGATGTTTTAATTTCAAAATGTTAGCCAGGATTTATTTTTGTAAAATTTAAAAAAACTTAATTAGTATTTTTATCATAATAAAATGATTTCTACTCATCGTCCAAAATTCAGGGGAAGAACCCCAGAAAAGTATAAAGAAGAAAGTCAAGATCACCTGTAACCTTTTCACCCTGCAATAATACCAGTAAATATTATAGATTCTGCTTTTTTATACTTTCTCTATTCTTATATAGGTATCTAAAGAATATATATTTTTCATGATTACATATATACTTTCTGAAAATTAAAAAATGGAATCAAGTTAATTTTCCTCAAGGGTTTTCCTTCCAAATAGCCTTTAAATATTAAATAAGATTAAATTTTCAGAGTTTTCTTTAAATGAAATAATATTAATTTCTAATTAAATATTTTAATGAACAACCTTGGTATATAAATATTTAAAACCAGAAAACAGTAGAATTTCTTCTGTTTTCACTATTCTAACATATACATAATTGTCATTTTGTTGTATTTCCTGTTTTTTCCCTCTATATTTGAAAAAAAAATCTTTTTCACTTTGCTTAGAAATATATTTTTCTAAGGGAAAAGGCAATATCAATAGATAGTTAGTTTAGATAAAACTTTCCTGCTATCTAAAACAACACAATATTAAAAATAACAAACATCAGTAGATACTTTAGATATTTTTGTGTTATTAAAAACAAATTTAAAAACAAAAAACCAATAAATATTAGTAGATAAGGACTTTAAAGACTTTTGATACTTAATATCTAAATGACTTTTAGATTTTCTCAGATATTTATTCCCGATGTTGATGGTTTCCTACCCATTTTTACAAGGTCAAATGTAAAGTGAACAAGGTGTTAGTTCTCATTATTTACTTTACCAAATAATAACTGAACTTTGTATAAAGGCATTTTATCCATTTTTACAAGAATTTGTCCTGGATRTATCAAACTGTTGATTAACCACCTATATTTAACTTCTAGTATGGTCGGAAAATTGCATTTGAAAACCTAGAGGGATTTTTCACTTGTCAAATAATAATCAGACTTTCTTTTTGGATATTTTACCTCTGTTATAACAATTTGCCATTTATCATGAAGCTGTTGATTTACCTCATGTATTTTAGTTCTAGTGGAGTGGGAAATTGCACAAAAGAAACTAAAATTTTCCCATGTCAAATAATTACTGGACTTTCTATTTGGACATTTTATCCATTTTTAAAAGAGCACTTTGTATGGATCTATGAGCCTTGTGATTTGCCACCTGTATTTGTCTTAATTTCTAAGAAGGTAGGGAAAACTTATTTCTAAGCAAAGTAGAATTTTCATTTGTCAAATAGTAACTGGACTTTGTAATACTCATTTTATCAATTTTTATAACAGTTTGCCATAAATATAATAGCTGTTGATTTATCTCATATTTAGCATAACTTCTAGTATGGTAGTCAAATTATATTTTTAAGCGGAGTAGAATTTTCACTTGTCTCACAGACATTGAAAATAGCAAGGAATAGTTCCAGAAAAAACTGATTAGAGACAATCCCAAAGAGATAAAGATAACATGTTTCCAGTTTCTAACACTCGGGTTTTCCATTGATGAAAATCATCCTCTAAACAAAATACTGAAGCAATGAAGAAATCCTGTCTTGTTAAAAATTCTCAAGTCAAATATCCAGATTGTTTGTGTTTCTGATAAGACCAGTGTTTACAGATCACATTTTCTCCAAAATAATCAGCCTGCCTCTTTCTCTGTGTTGTGTTTCTTCCTTCTTTCTTCTTACTAATTGTCCACACATACTTACAATCAATTTCCTTTCTTAAAATTTACTCTTCCAAGCTCTATAAACACCTAAATGAATATTCTATTATTTATCTTATTTCCTACTCTTAGTGTAAAAATAACTCTAGATGAATAGATGATATGGGTTTATGTGTCTGTTAGAGAGTCTTGGGCTGGAAAAGGAAATTTTTTCACTTTGCTGCATTTTAGTTCAGAGCTTCACAGAAATATAAACGTGATGACTCTTTTCTTTCCATACTTTCCTAACCTTTTCAAGAGACAGATAGACAAATGGACACACACGTCTAACATCCGAGTTTTCTAAATTTAGGATTCAGTTCTTCAGTCTGTCTCCCCAGAAACATTAAGTACTATATTTTTTTTAAATTAAAACCAAAATCTTTTTAAAGCCAGTGTTTCTAAGGATCAACAAGTCATTTCAAATGACTGTTTTCCTGCTCGGAGTTTTCAGGTTGATAGGAACAGATAGAGTCTCAGTGCTCTCAAAACTATTTCACATAGATTGCTCCTAAGCTAAATTATCTCTACATAATTACCACATTTTGATTTTTCAAATAATGTAAAGTATTGAAGACAATATTGAATTTTAAAACAACATATAACACTCCCCCCCCAACACACAATCTCCACACCCTGACATTAGAATAAACATTTCCACTTATGTTCCTTTTCTTCTGGTCTTTGGTCTGTGTGCATGCATATTTTGATACAACTATAATTTTAATATGTATAGATCTTTTTCACTTGGTTTTTAAAGATAAGCAATTCTTGCTTTCAGCAAAGTAATTGTCAAGGCTTCTGGCTGCTCTTGTGTGAGGACTAATTAGCAGAATTGCTGGGTGAATGGGAGGCAGGCTGAAACCAGTACTAGCTAGGTGTGTGGGTTATTGGGTTTTGGTAAGGGAGTAACCCTAGTAGGGTCACAAACCTTTGCCCTGGGTCTTAGTCTTCTTCTTTTTTTCTTTTTTCTTTCTTTCTTTCTTTCTTTCTTTCTTTCTTTCTTTCTTTCTTTCTTTCTTTCTTTCTTTCTTTCTTTCTTTTTTTTTAGCATTTGCTTGAATAATTTTGACAAAGATCTAGGAGGCTTGCTTTAAAATTCATGGATGACTGGAGAAGGGATAGCTGTTACAAACAGATAACAGAATTTAGAGTTAAACACCATTCAAATATGGTGCAATGCTATGCTGAAAGCAAAAAGATATTTTATAGCAGCAAATACATCATAATTCATTGGTGTGGAAGAAAGGAGATGACTTAGTACGGTGGCAGTTCTTTAGGGGAAAAAAGGCTAATATGAACCAGTGTCATGATATAGTTAAAAAAATACACACACACACACACACACACACACATATATATGCATATATATGTATATATATATGTCAGAGTTAGGCTATGTTAATAGTATAGTGTCTATATGTCACAAAAATTAATAGTAAACCTTGCTCTAATCAACCACATCTGTAGTATTGTGTTCATTTTGGCTGTCACATTTAAAGAGAGACG